TTCACGGGATTAACTTGGGAAAATCTAATTCAACTTAGAGAAATGATGAAGTCCATGAGAAATACGGAAAAACGAGCTGTGACACAGGCTATTGTTGTCTTTTTATTTAAATTGCGTACTGGAAATTCGAATAGTATGATAGCTTCAATTTTTGGGTTAGAGCGCGAACAACAGGTATCCGATTTTTGTAAAGCAGTTAGGAACTCGTTTGAAATAGATATTTTACCATATCATTTCGGAGTCGCGGCTTTTTCTCGTCAACATTTAATAGAAAATGAAACGTCCATTATTGCTAAACAGTTGTATAATATAACAGACCAGCTAGCACTTATTTTTGACGGTACATATATTCGCCTTTGTTGAAATGTGGACATGTGTAACGGAAATGGATAATAAGAGAACAATTTCTCGTCTAAAATAAGTAATTTAGACTGCCAATAGACGTAAACATTCATAAACCTTGCACATCATAAATCTTGTCATCATGATATCCGTAACTATATGCAAAGACTGCTAATGTTCTTTTTATTGAAGAAATCTTCTTCCACTATTCAAAGTTATTAAAGGTATGCGATTTTAAAACTAAGTACGTATATTCATTTAACGTAGAAAAAATGAAACAGTAGGGTATTTAAGCAAATATACGACTAGAGAAATGATGGAATAGAAACTGCTCCATAATTGTTTTTGCGTATATTTTAGGTAAAAATATTTTTTAAATATTAATAAACTAATAGTTTTTCATTGTCGTTTAGTTAGAAATTGAAAAAAAAAAAATTAATATAATAAAAAAAAATGTACCGTAGCAGGGCGCGAACGCGCGTCAAAAAGTTTGCAGCAGTCTCGCAGCCAAGCATCTTACTCACTGCACCATCGCAGCTCTTGGAAATAATGCTGATACTTCTGAATACAACGCGCATAGCACGTTTTTTTTCTTGACTTATTTTTGCTTTTCTTCTTGTATACACTGTTTTACTCAACATGGAAATATTTAAAACCACAGAATATAGTTATCTATTAAAGGGAATACAAAAATTCAAAGTATAAGTTGCTTTTTCACGCGAAAAACGCCGAAAAAATCAGTTTTTCATTTTTGCTACTACGGCGCACCCTGCCAAAAAATCTGAAAAAATTCAGGGACATAACCAATGACAATATGCATTTACAGTAATTATATAAATCTAGTGTCTCGAAAGCTTCAATACGAAATCGGTATTTTTCTGCGTTTTTTTGCGTTTTTAATTTTTCACACCTAGGATTTGAAATTGAAAAATCGGAAAAAATTCTCAAACACGTATCTCAATAGTCGCAATGCACCAGATTTTTTTCATAATTTTTCTACTCGATTAAATAGGGGAAATAGGCAGAAATTCGTTAATCCGAATTTTCTCAATAACTACCCTTCCAAACAAGATAGAGGGTTAAAATTTGGCACAGAACGTTTTTTCTTGATGCTCTATCGATGGATCTATCGTATGTCACATTTCGTTCAAGGGCACATTTAACCCCCTTATTCGGCTATACCCTTTGTTCGGATGCTTCTTGCAGTTCGCTTAGTGTTCGTCCGACGGATTGCAACTTTTCAGGGTCGATATGCACCTCTTGTACAAGGTTCAGAGGGATATCGGTTTCCGATATATTGATTTTAGGGGTTCTGGTTCTTACAAGCACTATTTGATCGTTATTGATCGTATTATTATGGTACAAAATATTGGTTGGCTTTAGAGTAGCCGAAAGTGAAATTCCGGTGCAGTCGGGTGCTAGGGTTAGTACAAACTTATGATTAACTTCTAGGTGTCTAGGCCTTTTGTCCGAACACAGTATATGCAAGGTTTCTGATTTTGGTGCTATACCCAGCCATTGGTTTCCTGTATGGAGCTGTATCCATACAGTGTTTTGTATTTGCATATACCGCGTTTCACAATTTTCTGGCTCATTTTTGTTTTCACAGCATTAAGGATTATACTCGTCTGGTTACGTATGTAATTAATGACGGTTTTCTGATCCGCGTAGAGTTTATCGAGTTCGTTATTATAATATTGTGCGTCCGATGCGCCGAGTGTACCAAAGAGGGTTTTGCTTACTTCTCCGACGAAATCGAAAATTCCACGCCGAGCGCGCGAGGAGCTGCTATCAATTCCTGCAGTATAAAAAGCATTGCGAAGCTCTCCCCGAACGTGGCTGAAAGCTGCTACTCGTTTCACTAGTCGGTTGCGTGATGAACACGTGAATTTTTCCCCTGATATGTCTCGAAGGCACAGCCCGGTTAGGACACGCTGGTACAAATCCTCGATAGTCCGCAGATCAGTTTCGATATGAGCAAAATCGTAACCGACGACTATTTTCCATTGTTCATGAAAAATCCTCACCCTACTTAGGTGCTCGAGAAAGATGGATTCTTGATCGCTGAGTGCGGTCATGGAATATTTTTCATCGCTGGTTTGAGTCGTTGAGATACTAATCGTAATCCATATTATGGCCATGGTCGTCATAAGGTTCGGAGCGATTACGAAGTTTCTGCTAGGTTTCATCGTCTGAAATGGTAGGTGACGCTCGTTTAAAAAGTTTGACGTTAGTCCTATGATGCGCGGTTACTCGTCCATTTTCATTTACTTTGATCGAATGACCATCAATTGCTTCTACAACCCCGAAAGGTCCTCGCCATCGTTCCTCCAATGATTTGGCGGTGTAGTTACGTATAAGAACTTGGTTACCTTCGGAAATCGTTTCAAGGTGATCGTAGGACGTGGAAGGTTGCTGTGACTGGAGATTTTCGAGGGTCTCGATTATTTTATTCTCGTGTTGGAATTTAAGGTTCCCTATTTGCTGTCTCAGAGTCAGTAATTCGTCCTGTTCGTCGAAGATACTATTGGGTTCATAGCCCAGTTGCAGTTCGAATGGTGTATATCCAGTGGAACGGTTAGTCGTGTAATTATAGTTAAGCATTGCCTGAGGGAGTAGGAGATCCCAAGGTTTTTCTGCTGTTTGGTAGCACCGAATGTACTCCTTTAGAATGGTGTGAGATCTTTCGTTTTTACCATTAGATTGTGGGTGGTATACGGAAGTGAGGACGTGTCTCGATCTCATAAGATTGCAGAATTCGGTGAATTCTTGAGAAGTAAATTCTTTTGCGTTATCTGTCAGGATCTCTTTAGGTTTGCCAAAAATGCGTAGCCACGAAGCCCAAACGGCTTGTATGATGGCTGCCGTAGATTTATCGATTAACGGTTCGCAAATGATATATCTAGTTAGATAGTCCTGTATGACTAGAATATATTTGTTATTGCGAGGAGTCGCGTCCAAAGGTCCTACTAGATCGAGGGAAATTTTGTCAGTCGGTTTTGAGGGAATGTCAGTTGCTTGCGGTATGTATGTTTGTCGTTTCGTGTCTTTCTGCCGTTGACAAGTTTCGCAGTTTTCGACATAGGTCTTTACGTCCCTCGTGATGTTTGGCCATTCGTATTGTTTACGAATCTTTTGTAATGTTTTATCATAAGCGTAATGGCCTCCGAAGATCGAATCGTGTGCCAACCCAATGATTTCTTGTTTGTCTGAGGGGATTGGTTTAGAAACATAAATTTCTATGTCTCTATTTAAGGTTGAAAAAAGCGTAGCAAGTTCAGAGTTATAATTTCGATCTTGTATTATGTTGATCTTAGAACCGTCGTTTAAAATTTTGGTTATGGTCTCTAGTTTTGATTTGTCAGTTTCATGCGGGGATAGATAGGTTTTGTCCTTTTCAGTTATTTCGGGAGGTGTCTCCGTGTAAATAATAGTCAGGAGCTCTTTCCGGAGACCTTGGCGGATTGTTACCTGAGACTGTAATGAGGGACCGCTGTGGTTTTGGGATGTAGTAGGTTTTGAATGCCCTACTAGTTCGCTAATGAATTTTTCGTCCTCTTTCGATGTCTGGGGGTTCTTTGAATAAAACGTTATATACTTTTCTAATTCGTCGCCTATAAGATTGTCTTCGATGATTCTAACCGTACATCGTGAAAGTGCGTCTGCGTTCGTATTGATTTTCCCTTGTTTGTAGACTATTTCGTAGTCGTATTCTAATAGTTTTAGTCGCCATCGCACTAAACGCGAATTTGGGTCCTTCACGTTCATCAACCAGACGAGTGGTCTGTGATCAGTCACAATGGTGAACTTTCGTCCCTATAGATATTGGTGGAAATGTTTGGTTGCCCAAACAATCGCTAGTAACTCCTTTTCAGTCGTTGTGTATCGGGTCTCTGCGTTATTTAAGGTTCTCGAAGCGTACGCGATCGGTTTGTCTTGGCCGATAGTCCCTTGCGATAATACCGCACCTAGGGCGTAATTGCTCGCGTCGGTCGTTAACACGAAAGGTTCCGTCCAGTTCGGGTATTGTAAAAGGGGTTGCGTCGTCAGTGCGTTGCATAGGGTCTCGAAAGCTACCTGTTGGTCGTTCGTCCATTCAAACCTTTTATCTTTTCTTAAGAGCTGATTAAGGGGTTTCGCGATTCTGGCGAAGTTTTGTATGAATTTCCTATAGTACCCGCACAGTCCTAAGAATTGCTTAATTTCTTTGGGGTTTTTGGGAACCGGATAGTTTTTCACCTTGTCGATGCGTTTCGGATTGGGTTGTACACCGTTAGACGGAATAACATGACCTAAGTATTCTAGTTCCGGCTTTAGATATTCACATTTGTCAGGTTGTAGTTTTAAACCGCACTGTCGCAGTCGTTCGAACAAGATCTTTAAGGGGCTATACCAGTGTGATCGCTCTAAAATTAGATGATTTTCGGGAATTTTTTTTAAAAGAAATATTACATTCAATGTTTTTAAACTTTAGGTATGTATTTAGTAACAAATCAAATATTTAGAATAATTTTTTGGTACAAAAATAATAAAAAACAAGCGACTTGTGCGCTATCTCCCAGAGGTTCAAAAAAAAAAAGTAGCTCCGCTGCTGCAGCGATTGCCGCCGCCTGAGTACCTAAAATGAAAAATAACAAAAACGCTGTTAAACTAGAAAGTATTCTCCGTACCATGAACTAGGATTTTTGAAAAATATCAAAATTTGACAAAATGGCGAAGTTTTAAAAAAAATTGTGAATTTAACCTAAAAAAATGATGGTTTTTTTAATGCCAAATTGATATTTTTCATCCAATCAAAAAAATCCTAGTTCATGGTATGACACAACATATACTGAATACACTGCAAAAAGTTTCGAGTCGATACAATAATTTGTATTCAAGTTAGAGCTGCAGCAAATTTGAAATATACCGTTTGGAGAAAAACGCGTATAAAGTTAAAGTTACTGATTTCATTGTGACAAAACGATATTTACCATAGTAAAAGTTAATCTGCTATTCCGTATCCATATAATGGACCTTCCTCTTCCTCAAAAAGTACCTGCTGGGCCGCTGTAGCTTTCCTTCGAGCTGCTCGACTCTCTTTTGAAGCAGCCTGATGTCGTAACTGCGCTCGGTAAATTCTATTCCTATCTCTCTCGTCGGCATACTCCTTTGCAATGGGACCAATAATAACTTTCATTATTTGGAAAATTTTCAATATAGATTGAAAACCATCATTAAAGATTCCAACAGCCAGAAAATTGGCAAGTTCAATGGTTTTTAAACCATTGTGGAGGTGCTTTGGAGCAAAGTGCCAAAGCAAGGCATTGTAACTTTCATTGTTATTTTGGGTGTTTCGACCCTTGCACCTGTCTAATAAATCACGTCTACTTAGGTCCGTATAAATTGGCTTCAGAGCTTCTTCAACCTGTGGGTCTAAAGGACGATAGTTGTGTTGGAATATCGACATGTCTAATCCTTGAGCCTCTGCTCTGCGATATGTGCACCAGCTCTCCGCGCCTGCTGGGCAGTTTCCATGGTTTGGATTCTTGTCAGTCGAACACAAATGAAAAAATGTGGCCCAAATTTCCTTATACATTTCGTCAACATTATCTTGGTGTCTGGTAATCGCCAATCCATAGTATTTTTGTAATTTATTAATTAATTTTTCGGTTAGTTTCACCGTACTCTTACTTTTTCCTCCTAAGCCCTTGGTTTGCTTTTTTAAATTGCGGCATCGCGTTCCCATTCTTTTTTGTACGTGTAAGTAGCACTCTAGTTTTTCCACTGGGATATCGTATGGGTCTAAATTTAATATGCCTTTATATGTGGCACTATCGCCATCGCCAATATACCGCGTATATTGTATTCCATATTTATCAATCGAGTGATTGAACATTTCTTTTACGCTATCAACCTCCATTTTTGCAGCTGGCCCTGAGTGATTTAGATCACAATTATTGTGCTCTGCGAGCCATTCTTCGTATTCCTCGGGATTATTTTCTTTTTTCTTCTTCCATACTTCACAACTCTTACAGTAGGATGATTTCACAACTGTATCAATAATCTTTTTGCAGTATTTACCTGCAAGAGTTGTAACGCCAAAACGAGATATAAGTACGCTGCAATATGGTTTCTGGTGTGGCTACAAGTGAACTAAACAAGGGAGATAATGACAATCTAAACGTATACAGTCCTCGTAAATACGCGTTGACTAAGTTTCTTTCTCGCGACGATAAGCGCGTTTCTGATACGCCAGCAACTACTCTTTAGAAGGCTGCCATTTTTAAACTATTTGAGATTCGACCTTGGAATTTTAATACGATATTCTAGAGAGTATAAACTTTGAAAAAATGCAAAAAAAAAAATCCATTTTTCAAAAGTACTACACTGGTATAGCCCCTTAAGTTGTTGTTGTGTTCTTCTAAGGTCCTTCCGAAAACTACGATATCGTTGATGTAGACGAAGCAGTTGTTACCGATCAGTCCTTGCAAACCGCGATTCATGAGTCTTTGGAATGTCGGTGGTGCGTTTTTCAATCCGAAAGGCATTCGCAGAAATTCGTAATGGCCGTCGCCAGTCGAAAAAGCGGTTTTTTGAATATCGGTTTCCTTAACTCCGATCTGATGAAAACCTGAGGCTAGATCGAAAGCGGAAAAGTATTTCGCGTTACCTAGTCTGTCCAAAATTTCGTCGATGTTGGATATTGGATATGAATCTTTTATAGTTTTTTCATTTAGTTTCCGATAATCTATGACTAATCGCCACTTTTGTTTACCGGACGCGTCTTGTTTTTTCGGAACGATCCATAGAGGACTGTTGTGTGGGCTATTGCTATCCCTAATGATACCTTTCTGTAACATCTCCATCACCTGTCGATTAATTTCGTCTTGGTGTATTGGGGGATATCTGTATTGTTTGGTGTGTATTGGAATCTCAACGGTAGTTTTAATTTCGTGTTCGAGGATTGCGGATTTAGGAAGAGGGTCCCCGGGCAATATGAAAATATCGTGGGAGTTTGAAACGATTTCCCAAATCTGATCTCTGCCCTCTGTTAGGTGATCTAACCGAGTATTCTCTCTTAAGAGATCGATCCTCTCATTACTTTTACTGCTACCTTGTATACGGTAAACCGATTTTTCGTTAATAGCCTCTACTGATTCGATTTGATCCTTAAGGGAATCTGGGAGTATGGGGTGACCATTTGCATCGACCTTCGTAATTGCTCCGATTCCGGTTATAAAATTGACCAGCACCGTTTCGTTTTGACAATTGCTCTTGGTGTTTGCGCGTCGTTTAATGATATTGCCGATTATGAATGAGTTACAAGAAAGGGAGAAGTCGTGGTTGAATAGGAAGTCTGACCCTAGTATCCCGTCTTGTAAAATTGGAGAATTATCATCAACGACTTGAAATTCGTTACATTTATCATTAAACGGCACGAGTACAAAGTATAATGTATCCGTGGTATTGTTCGTGATGCCTCTGAGCGTTATTGGTTCTCCTCTGGGTAAGCTTTGGTCGATGATTTGCTTTTCTTTAATTGCTGAAATTTCGCTACCTGTGTCGATGAGGAATGTAGTAGGTTGGAGCCCTGGTAGTTCTAGTTGAACAAACGGGGAGTGGTCCACACGATGGTCCTCTGTTGCTGCGGACCTAGCGTTTCCGATGATGATAGTGCTCCTGGCGGTGTTGAGTTCGGCTGGGCCCGTTGAAAATTTCGCTGTTTGTTCGGCTCGCCTTCCTTCTTGTTCTTTCCATTGCTTCGTCCTGCATTCGTTTTCCGTGTGTCCTCGTCGTTTGCAGAAATTGCACTTTTTGTTGTCCCATCTCGTGTCAGGGTTTCTTCGAGGTTGGTTTCTTTGATTGGTAAAGTCTCTATGCGCCTTGTGGTCCCTTGGTTGAGTCCACATCCTTGATTGTTGCATGTATTGGAGTTCTGTGTCATACATGCGTGCGGCTTCGAATGCTTGGTTTAGAGTGTCGAGTTGTTGGCTAAACAAGTATTGCGAGATTTCAGGCTTTACATTGCGTCTGAATGTTTGGATACCCTCTTCGTTGCAGATGATTTCCTTAATGTCGATGTAGGTCTGGAGTCTTCTTTCAGAGTTTACGGCAGTCAACAATTCGTCTTGTATTTGTGAAAAGCGATGTATAAAGTCGTTAATGGGCTCGTGTGGCCTTTGTTTGCACGAGTCCCGTTTAGTTTTTACGGATGCTGTGTCGATTGTTTTCCCGTAGAGAAAACGAATTTTCTCTATTAATTTTGGGATTGTCGTAATTGTGTCTGGTCGAATTGTTAATGATGCACGGCCTTTTAGTTTTTGTGACATGAGAGCTAATAGAAATAATGGGTGTTGATCCTGGTTTAGCATAGTCGAGACTTTAATGAGCGTGCTGATAAAAATCTCGGTGTTCGTTCCGTCGAAGTCTGGGATTAGTTGCAGACATTTATCGTATTTTTCAATCGTACCAAATGAATGCGTTTCCGTGTTGCGTAACGGATCACTCGATGTTTGCACAGTCTGTCTAGGTTCCGTTTTGTCTTCTATAGCTTTCAGTCTGTCACATACTTGCAGTAATTTTTCGGCCAGCAGGCTCATGTCAATTTGGGTACGAGTCGGGCTTTGTGTTCTCGACATGTTGTTAGAAGGAGCAGTTACGAAGTCGTGCACAGTATCGGATAGTGTGTCAGTAGAGAGACTTACGTTGCTGCTGCTTTTTCTCCACTGCGTCCAGTTGGAATCCAGGTTATGTCGATCTTCGAAGTTCTCGTGTTCGTAGTGGGATACCTTCAGAAGTTTCCACTAATGGAATAACTAGCACAATTAGGATATTTTCTTCTGAATAAGCCCGAAGGTGATATCCCTTACCGCTGCCACCAATTATGTCGTCGAGGTAACTCCGAATTAAAGAATGTTAGATTGTTTATTGGACTTTTTGTACAATTGTTAAATTTTACAATGGATGCCCGGAATGACAACGTGACCCTCTGGTCTGATGTTCAAGACTGCCCGTTCTCCTGTTTGGGACCGGTATTTAACTTAAGCCTACTGAAGGGGTGGGAGCTAGGGTAGGAGAGCCGCCTAAGGAATTTTGAGAAAGGGGGTGTTTGGGAAATCTGCTATCAGGAGGAGCCATCTTGGCGACACTTGGAATTTGGAAAGAGGGCTGCTCGGAAAACCAGCGTATTGTTCTAAAGGATTTATTGTCAAGATGGATAACCATCTTGGCGACTCTTGGAATGAACCTTTTCCTACTAGATGGTCGGATTCCATCAACTGGACCCATCTCGTTGGGTCCGGACAAGGGAAATCCATTCGTCTAAGGGAAGGTCGATTTGCGATTATCGCGATACTTGCTGTGGTGGCTCAGAGCAGACATACGACCGGAACGGTAAAAAGGCTTTGGTGGCTGAGAGTAGACATACGACCGCAAAGGGTTAAAATATCATCTAAATATAGTACAATTTTTCCTGATTCTAATAATGGTCAGGCGTAACGAAAGAAGTAAAGTTTATCGAATCTTCAGAAATGGGAATCTGATGAAATCCACTCTATTAAATCTAAACTTGTAAAATAAATATTGTTAGATAGCCTATCAATTTGATCCTCTATCAAGAGAAGAGGGTACCTATCTTTCACCGTAATTTTGTTTAATGTTCTATAGCCAACACAAAGTCTGTAAGCGTTATCCTTTTTCTTTACTAAAACAATCGGACTGCTAAAATCAGAATTGCTCATTAATAATTTTCCGAACTTCTGTTTTCTCATGCCACGACAATCTCCTAGGTGAAAAGTAAAATGGTTTACTACTTTCGGTAAGATTAATTTTAAATTTATAATCAATCGGTTCAGCCTTGTTATCTAAATTCACATAATTATCTAATGATTTCATCAAAATTTCTTTAACTACAATGAAAAGTGATTCATCTAAATTTTCCGGAACTATATCTAATTTCTCTTTCGTTTCTATGGCTTCGATACCTAATATCTCGTCTCTATATTCTCTATCGTAATAAATACGTACTACTTTGCTGAGAACGATTATCATCCCGAGTCTGGTCATAAATTCGCGTCCTAATAAAGCGCTGTACGTCGTTGTCGTGTCAGGTACAACCATAAATCTGACGTCAAAAATATCATTCGGCAATAATTGTAATTCAATTCCAACGTTAACATAACCCATAATTGACAATGGTGATTGGTTCACACCTCCATAATTAAAGTTGTGCTTACCTTGCACCAATTCATACTCACTGAAAAAATGCTTAAATGTCTTATAAGTCATAAGGTTCATGGCACTACCAGAATCTACCAGTGGCTCGACGAAATAGTTATCTTCTTTCTCTTCCGTACAGTAACTCGCATTAATATTCGGACATCATGCTGTGTGCGAGATTATTGCTCTATATATTTGTTTACAATAGTGTTATTGAATTGTTTTTTTCGTAATATATTAAAACACTTATTGTAGTTAGTAGAAACGTAAACATTATTTATTTCACACACATAGTTTTTTGCAAAATAAGTGATAAAGTCAAGAATGTCGAAATTCAACAGCGCAAAAATATTCGGACAGGGAATAACTTACATAAATTTTATATAAAATATACATAGTTTTTGAACAGTGTTAATATTTCGTAGGTTGACCCTTTTGTCTTATTACTTCCTGTAATCGTTTGGGCATATTGGATATAATTTTATTTAAATATACCTGTGTTATACATTTCCATTCTTGTAAAAAACGTTCTTTTAATTCTTTTATTGTTTTTATGGGCGTTGTTCGAATTTTACGATCCAATTGATCCCATAAATTCTCAACAGGATTTAAATCTGGCGGTTGAGGCGGAGGGTGTAACACTTTAGGATAGTTATATAGTAAGTATTCCTGTACGATTCTCGATTTGTGC